AACAGTGAAAGTTTATGATAATGAAATGGGAGAAATTGTTGCAGAATTTACTGTAAGAATATTATTAACGATTATATATATATTTTTTTTTTCTGTTATTTATTTAGGCTCATTCAGCACCAATCTCACATGTACGTATATTAGAAGATAATCGAAAGATTTTATCAAGTGATGAACAAAATTATATTAAAACATGGTGGGCAAATACAGGAGAATTAATTGATTCAGTAAATAAAATATTATGTCAATATATGATGATATTTTTATTCTGACGTTTTGTTTTTAGTATAATGTACCTTGTAAAATGCTTGGTGTTTCTCCTGATGGAAAATATGTTGTATCAGGACATGGAGATAATATGTAAGAGAATGCTTTCCTTTAGCGAATGATTTAATTGAATTTTTTGTTCAAAAATTGAATATAGTTTAAAAATTTGGTCTTTGGATGATGCACGTGTTGTTCGTTCAATAGATCATACGGAAGGAAAAATAACTTGTATGGCATTTCGAGCTGATTCTCAATATTTAATTACTGGTGGAGAAGATTGTAGTTGTAAACTATGGGAATTATCATCCGGAAAATTGACACAAGTATAAAAAGATATTACAAAATTTGTAAAACAATACAATGAGTTATTACTTTCTTGTTAAGGTTCTTGTTGAACATGAACAATCAATTACAGCTGTTGCAATTAGCGAAGATAAAAAACATGTCCTTACTGGTGACAAAGATGGTCAAGCTATTATTTGGTCATTTAAAGATGGTAAATAGTTTCTTTTCTTTTAGTTTTGCTTACAAGAGAAAATTTTAATTTGATATTTAATTTTCTATCACCCCGTGGGGAAATGAAAACGAGTAAGAATAATAGATATAAAGAGAGAACAATCGATGATAGTTATGATGTATTGTGTATTTCTAAATGTCCTTAAGGTAGAATGAATATTGTGAATGATGAATTTGATTTGAAGTATTCTACAATGATACTTATAGGACATGTTTTTTTTATCCTTCGGTTAATTTTAGAACTTCCAATTTTATATTAATCAGGAATTGCGCTAACAAACTTTTCTGATGTTTAATAAATTGTGGTTTTTTGTTTAAGTTTAGCTTTGATCATATGTTTATCTTAAAATGAGACATGTAACGGACTATGTTCTAATATTGATTAGTGTACCCAAAAAGTTTATTATTTCTTTTTAGTATTCCATTCATTAAACTTTGTAATTATGTACTACAACAATTAGTCAAATATTGACTAACTGTGTTAATAATAGGGCAAAAGAAACTCATCATATCCGTTAAGAAATATATTGTTTTTTTCACATATTTAAGCACTTTGTTATTGATTATAAAATAATTCAATTAAATTTCTTACTTTTTTTTTAATAAAGAAAATGAACAATGTTGATTTTGTATAAATAAATAAATGTTTAATTATTTTAATAGGTGCTGTTGTACATAAACTCAATAGACATAAAAATACTATCGTTTCTGTCTCGTTTACGATTGATAGTCACATTGCTATAACTGGTAAAATATATTTCAATTTAAATCGTCGTCTTTTTTTGTTATCATTATATGTATTTCATTTTAAGCTTCTCAAGATGGACTTCTTTCAGCTTGGTCAACAATGACTGGTATTCATTTAGCTGCATTTCATTTCAATCATATTCTTGTAAAATTACTCGTTTCACAAACTGGAGGTATTGATAATTGATGAAACGAATATTATATCTTTTCATATTTTGTTTTTGTTTGCAGCACGTTATGCAGCAATCCTACAAAATACATGTTGTGTTGCTATGTTAAGTCTTTTTAATATCCCGTCCAGTGATGCATCAAAACTGTCAGAACGTCACAGTCAAAGTATGTTTGTATATTCAATCACTAATAACCAAAAAGAAAAATTATCGTTTTATTTTTGTCTTTAAATTTTCTTCAGTGTTTTCCGATCCATATAATGTTTTATTGCCAATAAAACCAAAACCTTTATTATATTCAAAAGATTCAACATTATTGTCTGATTGTCGGCAGAATTCAAAACATGATCAACATTCTTGTGATACTGTTTTAGTAAGTTTTTTGTTGTCTTATTTTATTTGTTGGTTATCTATATATAGTTGAAAACAAAACAGAAAAAAAAGAAACTTTTCTCAGCATGATATGAAACAATTTCATCCGTCAAATATTTAATCGGAAACAAATCCGTTACATGTTGAGAATATCAATAACCTACAGATTTCATTCTGTTTTATATCTTTCGGATGGACGAACAATATTAATCGATTGATAAAAAACAAGAAAGACATTAATTAGAACAAGACAAAAAGAATTGCCTTGCAGGCAAGAAAAAAATAAGGACACAGCCATTGACAATGACAACATATAGCGTAGAATATATAAGAAAAGACAAAAGACGTGTTCATACACTCGTGTATATCTATGTTGACTTATTATTACTCGGCAATTAAGTAGGACATGATGGCATCGATGTCGTACTACATAATTTCTTGTTATTTTTTTTAATGTCAATCGAAATCTTTTTTTCCAAGAAAAAGGACATGTTTTTCTATCAAAAATCATTTTGTCTGAGATTTATTTTCCGTTAGAATTAACACAATTTGTAGGTGTATGCATTTCTCACATTAGTTTTTGTTTTGTTCTTGTTTTTTCTTTCATCGTTGTTTATCTGAATATTTGCTCATCTTTATTTTTTGTCCGGAAAAAGAACAAGAAGAAAAAAAATGAGGTAATTAGACAAAACTTAATATTATATGTCTAACAGAGGAATGTTCGATCAAATAGGAAGTTGTCGATTGAGTTAAAATGGGATTGAGAAAGGCAACTACCTCTTGATTAAAGAGTTACAGAGAACAGCAATAACCTACCCGTATTTTCTTTTTTGTTCAAAAAAAATTAAAGTCTCAAAACTAATCTAGATATAAAATCAGATATAGAAAAAGGAGTATACAATGAATATTGAATATTTTGAATATTATCATCTTTATTCAATATCATCAAATATGTCCAATGATTCAATAATTCAATTTAATCTTAATTTTCATCGTATATATCCTTGGTTATTATTGCCATTTGGTTTTATTGGTTCATTATTAACAATACTTGTATTTACACGAAAAAAATTTCAAAAATTTGGTTGTTCAATATTATTTGTTGCTGAAAGTTTTATGGTAAATACTTAAAAACTTTTTTTTTCATTTCTTAAGCACACAATTAATTTAGTCATCTTTAGGATTTGATATTGATTACATTAAATTGTATACGTCTCATAATACGTTATACATTTCAATCATATTTTTTACAACGTTCATTATATATATGTCGAACGTACAAATTTCTAACTAATTATTTTTCTCATTGTGCTGTATGGATATTATGTGTTATATCACTTGAACGTGCTGCTGTAACCAAGCGTTATGTTTGGAATAAAAATGTTTTTAGTCGTAAACATTCATATTGTACATTAATTATCATGTATATTATATTATTTTTTCTTAATATACATTATTTAATATTTTTTGGTTCAAAACAAGAACGAAATCAAGATTTTACAATTAATGAATCTGAATATAAATTATTAGCTATGTGTAGTTCAAATTTAATTCGATCATCAAAAGAAAAATATGAACATTTTCTAATTTATTATTTTTCATGGATGGACTTTTTAATAAATTCTTTAATACCATTTATTATTATTTTAATTGCAAATACAAGTGTTATGCATTCTGTTTGTAAATCTCATATATATATGAAACAATTAGGTATAAGACAAACACGTTCACCACGTGATACACAATTAGCATATATTTTATTTGTTTCAACATTTCTTTTTTTATTATTAACATTTCCATTACGAGTTTTTTCTGTTATTGAACCATATTTAAATTATGAAAAAAAATATTTAATTTTATTAGATGGTATTATGAGATTTTTATTATATCTTGATCATGGTTGTGGATTTTATTTATATACATTTACAGGAGAATTATTTCGTCGTGAATTAAGAAAACTTTTTTATGAATGTTTATTTAAAGTATTTCGACAAAGATATTTTAATTGGTCACATGTTGAATCAAGACGTCAAAGTGAATTAAGTTATTCAAATGGTGGTGGTGGGGGTTCACATTTTTTTCATCAATTACAACATACAAATATGCTATTAAGAGATTCAGTTAGTAGTTGTACAGGTGGTGGAACTGGTACTGGTATAAAAACATCATTACATTCACTTCAAACACATAAAATTTATCAACAAATACCTTATCATCAATGTGCTTATGCAAAATCTTCTGTGACAAATAGATTATCAACATCATCATCACGTTCAAAGCTTAGTCCATCAATAGGAATGAAAAATTCATTTATATATGAACAAAAACATGGTCTTGTTAAACGACATAGTTCATCTTGTTTTGAATCTCAATATAAACCATTAACAATGCCATCTACATCACAAAATCCAATACCTACACATGATCTTGATCGAAAGAGCGATATTATTTAGAAGTTTTGTTCTTTTTCTCTGTTTTGTTTTCGTCAATTTTTTGAGACCTATCAGTTTCAATATTTAAATTGTTAAATTTTATTTTATTTTCTCTTATAGCCGGATCCAATGAGTAAATCACACAGTAAAGAATTTTTCAAGAGAAGACAACGTGGTCGAACTAAAAAAAATAGTTTTACTGCCGATGGTGGAATAAGTACAAGTGGACCAACAGTAAGCAATGCACCAATAGCAAAGCTATTTCCTCCTCAAACATCTCAAGGAAGTGCAACTGGTTTACTTGGTAATGGTGAAGATCCAGCTGTTGTTGTTATTAATCCTCTTCCACCAACTTCATTAAATCAAACAAAAGAAAAACGTACAAAAATTTGTTGTCTATTGTGATTTATAATGATTGTTCTTATTACTATTATTATTATTTTTTCCTACCGAGCCAAAAAAAAAAATATTTCTTTCTTTCTTTAGTTGTTTTATGTTACGTGATTATATTATTACTCGTAAGATTCTCAAATATGTCATTGAGTTGAACGAGAATATCATTTTCTTTAGTCTTGTTTAATTTTAGCAAATATTGAACAATACATGAACATATACCATTCGACAATATTGAACCACATAATTGACATATATGTTGTCCTAAATATGCATTGAATGAACGAGTTTTATTAGTCGATATATTTTTAGATGGATTATTAAGTAACGATGATGAATGAGGTTTTTTCGGAATTTTATTTATTGATATATCACCACTTTTATCATCAATAAATGAAATACTAACAGCTGATCTTAATCGGTTCATAGTATTTGACAATTGATTGTTCATTTGTTTTTGTAGCGATTGTTGAAAAGAAGATGATGATAATTGAGATAATATAGAAGAATTGCTAATGACAGATGATCGCCTTCGCTTGAATTTCATTGGGCATGGATACGTAATAGGAAATGTAAAACGAAGACATTTGTCTTTTTTTTTGATTGACTGATATTGACGTTTGTATAGTTGGCGATATTGTCTTTTTAATAATTGTGCTTGTTCCATAACACTTAGTGAACCTAAAATACAAATGATATTAAATTATACAAATATAAATAGCTTTATGAAATATGATCTAAACGGTGTATTGAAATTATGAAATATGACCTAAACGGTGTATTGAAGTATATGAGATAGAAATTTGTACCCGTCTCTCCTCCGCACAAAGAGTGTGACAGGCATTAGTCAGAAACTATAACAGATATCATAGCAAAATTACCACTCTTCGTCATAAACGTTGCTGATATACGATCAAAGACCGTATATCAATCACCTCTTATTATCATATAGGAACTATTCCCTTATTAAAGTTCTGGAGTATTGAGTAAAAATATCGTAAAGAGTTGTGTATCAAAATAGATAGAATAAAATAATCTCTCTGTGATTAGCAAGAGTAGGTGTATCGTGTTTCACATTTTGATCCTTCAAGGATTGCACTAACACCTTTTCTCAGTGTTGAACTTATCCATATGAATGAATTATCGTTTGGTCTATATTAGCTGTTTTATACTTGGTGTAGCAAAATTTTTGCGACATATATTGTTTTGCATGTAACATTGTTCAGGAGCTTGAGAATACATGAATCTTTGTTTCAAAAGATACGTCCTTAATATGGTACTCAGATCACAAGGCCAAATCCATATAGCTATTTTCAAAATTTTAATAGCCTGTTATCACTGAACGTGTTTATCATCGCGTTATTTCTTCTAGAGAGACAACGAAGACAAAGCCAAAAACTGTTGAATTTCACTTTCGACTATTATTGTTCATTCATTTTAGTTATGATGTTCAAAATCAATTAGAAATCCCAAGTCGCTAGATTAAACTCCCTCGACTGTTGAAAGAAATAACAAAAAACGAATTAAGCGTTACAAAATAATACAACGAGAACTTAAGTTCAGTCGAAGAAGAAGAATAAACGTTGATCGAAAAACCGTACTGATCTCGTAGGGTCTATTGATGGAGTGATGAACATTTTGGTTTTTTACAGTGCTTAAGTCAGTTCATTTTATTTAACATTGATATGATAAAAAAATGAACTATTCTGATTTTTTCTTATGGAAAATAACACGATGATACACTTGTTCAGTGTAAGTATTCTATTGAAGTTTCAAAAACAGCTATAAAGATGGGATCTTATGATCCAACTAAAACATTCAATGCTACATATTTTGAAAAAAAGTTGGAATTACCATTTGTTCAAGTTCTAAGAAAGTATTCTAATCTGGTTCGAAATCTGAGTATTCTCGAAGAAATCAAAGCGTACGGAGTTGAAAAAAGAGCAAAATGTACAAAAATCATTTTTGGACCACTTTCAGTTTTCGTTTAATCATCACTTACCTAATGCAGAATTTCACGAGAAATATTTTAGTAACAAAACGAAGCTACTTCCGAAAAATCTCTACGTATTTATATTCAAAATATGATTTCCACATAGAAGTACTGCATATTATTATATAAACAACTACTCATCTCTCTAGTAAAAATTTTGACTTCACCGGTTGAAGTGTTGCTGAATATTGACGTAAAAGTTGTTCGAACCGAGTATGAATGTCATATAGTTCTCTGATAATTTCTGTTTACTATCTTTGCAATATCTCAAGAAAGTAAAGAAATCACATGGATTTTTGATTGATTCTGAAGCTCAACGTAGCGACTACAAAACGATATACTTTCTCATCTTTACAGTATCCAATCAGAAAAACTAGGCTTTCAGACAAATCCAATAACATACTGGGAATCATTGAAAAAAAAAGAATTTGATTAGAAAACCATTTTCACAGTGGAAAACATGTTCTGAATTTATAAAACGTTATATTAGGAGACAAAAGAAGAGATAAGTAAATAAGAAAAATGGTTTTCTGCATATATTCACTCTTTTTTTGTTAGACTCTGAAAGAGAGACGTCTCCAGCTAAATTTTCGAGAACAGTTCTTCTGTTTGAAATTTGTTAAATATCAGCTAAAAATGTAAGAAACGGTGTCCAAACAAAAGTCGAGTTCTACTCAGTCACAAATACTATCTCTAAAAAAATCGAAAAGTATCAATATTTTGAGTAAGGGAATGTGTAGACTCTTCAGAAGCAGCCTTGTAATTGTTACTAAATGATTTCTCGTGAAATTTTGCATTAGTTAAGTCATAATTGAAGAAAAACTGAAGATGGTCCAATAATGACTATTATGCAATCCTGTCCTTTTCACTGAATACTATTACTAAAATAGCAATCTTATTCAAATTTTATGGTTTATGAATCGTAGTGTATTAATTCAAACATGAATTTAATTCATGAAGTCAACTGCAAGTATCGTTTGCGCAATTGTTAGGCTCCTTTCTCAATGAATGCTGACATGTGTGTAAAAATATCTCTAGTACCTTGCCAATTATAATTTTCATACTTGGAATTTCAATTAATACATGCATCATTGAAATCATCGTCTGATTAACAGTAGTCTATAATGACTGATTTCGTTTCCTAGATTATATAAAATTCTTGTCTATATTTATTCAAATACACTAAACAACCGATTATAATAAACTCTTCTGCATGAAATAGAATAGGTGGTAATTGACATAGAAATGCCTGAAGCGCGAGTTCTCGACGTAATTCGGTTAAATTCATCCATTGACTATCCTTTAGATTATGATGAATTACTTTGTCTTTGTTTTTCTTCTCTTTTAATCCCATGAAATAATATATAGATGTAACAGAGACTCTTCTGCATCCATCGATCTCCTTTTTTTTTGATATTCTCATTTACACTGAAGGAGAAAGAAATTATTCTCTTTTTACCAAAGTGTTCTTTGTAGATTGATAAAAAGAAACATTAGGAAATGAGATACCTTTAGCTTGACTCGAGAATAAAATTTGTTCAAACGAATGTTTTTGTCATTACTCAGTAAAACATGAAAGTTACTAATAATTCTAATAAAGATGATGAAATTTTCACTTCAACACACACACTGCATTCTTCGACAAAATGTAAATTTAGATTTAAAATTAAAAATTTTTCTCATAATGTGAGAAATTAATAACTGCTGCTAGCAGAAACTTGCAGCTAAACCTACTTAGATTATTCTATGTCTACTTATACTCTATGTAATCGTCATATTTTTCTTAAAAAAAAACAAATTTTAGAATCTCGAAAGGTTTCTTCGTTAGTGACAATTTCAGAATAATACTTATAGTTATTCATCTGTTTTTTTATAACAATTAATTAAAACGTTAAAACAAACTTTTTAGTTCCTTTTTCTTGTATTGAAATAAACTAGTTAATAACGATTTGTTCCTATTGAATATACTCTTTAGTTTTGCATACATCATTTCAATGCATTATCATTTACAAGTACTGGTAGTTTGTTTAGAAAAAATTTAACTAACGAAGGAACTATCTGAACTGATATTGGGTTTACAAGGATATCTTGATAAAACTAAAAAAAATCGTAAAAGGGCTTGTCTTCATCGGTCTCTGGAGTCAAGTGACGACTATTTTCGATTCAACTTAGATATTTACTGAAGAATTAAACAATGGTATCGCGACTTTAAATTTTACCTATAGATAGATCTGATGACTCTGGGGAATATCCTGGAAGTTCTAGCAGAAAAGAATGTTCGTTCGTCGAAATATTGAATTTTCAAAAGATGACTATTCATCATAAACCTTGAATTTATTTGAAAATTCATTATCTCGACGAAGAAATATTCTCAACGTCATCAGATTTATCTATGGGTATAGCTTCAGGTCCGAATTCCCTTCTTTAATTTTCCAATCAGTACTTAAAACTAAATCAAAAACAGTCATAAATCGGCTTCAGAGACCCACAGGCACGAACCCTTTTAGAAATTTCTCGAGTGTTATTGAGAGTTTCTTATGAACTCAATATGAGTTCAAACGGTATGTATTATTTTAGGTAGCTTCTTCGAAGTGGTGCAGCCACAATTTTAAGCTAGGACATTCAATTGTAAAAAGAATCATAACCAGAGATTTATAGAACCATGTTCTCTTAGTCTCGGTTAGGAATTTAGCAAGTCTAATTTCGTCCCAAAAAAAAAAGAAGCTTTTTCAGAAATTATTCGTATCACATCTAAAAGAATTCTTCAATGCTAGTTTTTTATTTAGTCAATATATAACACTTTATCATTGTGTCGTCTCTCTTAAGTTTTACTTAAAACCATAGAAAATTTACCGATAATCTTTAGAATTGCTTGATACAACTTTCTTTTCTTGTAGTTCTAGTCACCATCATATCTCTAATCATGACAAATATTTCATTTGACACGTGTCAAAAACTAATTCGAAGCTTTTTTTTCTCATAAAATTTCAATTTTAACGAACAAGATGATTAAAAAACAGATTTTAACTCACGAACATTAATTTGTAAAAAAGAATTCTTATCTTGATACTGATCATTCATTATTGGTACAATTAATTGTTCATTATCTTTCATCAATATATTTTTATATCGAATATCAGGTCCTTGTAACAATGCAATTATCGAACTTTGATTCAAATCTATAGACATAAAGATATTTCCCATTCGAATAGATTCATTATAATTGTCTTTTTACTGCAATTCTTCTTATTAGTTTTTGTTGAATGTAATTTGTTCATATCATCGATCAAAACCATAGCGTAGAAGAAAAAAAAAAGGAATGACATATTTAGCGCTTTTCAATATTTCTCTTATTTATATTAGATGAATTAATTGTATGTATATATGATCATGATTGACAATGAGAGAAAAAATGTAAAAAAAAATACAGAAGAAACAAAGGCAAACGAGAAAAATTGATTGATGGAGAGTTTTTCGTGTTTATATTTTTATAGATACAGGTTGACAAGTAAAATGAAAAAGAAAGAAAAAAACAAGAAAGAAGAATGATGGTTTTGTTCAATGAATAATTTGACGGTTCTTATAAAAGTTGGCTTTTCTTTGATGTTTTTCTTGTATTTTTCTGATCAAAATAATTATACTAATTGTTGGTTTTTGTTTTTTCGTTTAACCTTGAAGTATAAGTCGAAATACATTGTTTATTACAAGCCATGAATTATTATGAAATCGTAAGAGAAACGTTTCAGTAAATGACATTGGTGGATCATTATCTGCCTGTATTAAATAAAAATTTCTTACTTAATAATTAATTAAAATTTAGTTTTCATTTACTTTGAGACCTCCAGTAACAACAATTAGAATACAATTATCATATGTTGGTTGAATATCTAATGTTGATATTGTATGAGCGATTGTTTGAAATGTTAATGAACGTAATTTTTCACCTATAGCTTGAGCACCCTTAGCAAAAGTTGAATGATTAAAATTCATCATTCCATTAACTGGTTCCTAGTTTTCAAAAATATAGAAAAATATTAATTCTTTATAGATAAATAAATTGATTGTATAGTTACATAAAGCGCCGCTACTTCATCTCGTGCACCTGAGTCAAATTTTTTATAATAAAAATCAATGAAAGCTTTACCAATTGCTTCAAAATCACCCATGATTTATTTTGTATTCAATATATTATAAGAAGACAGATAGGTATTTTATTCTGCAATAAACAAAATAAAGAAAGAATGATGGAATATATATATTCTATGGACAATGAAAAACATTAATTTTTATTTCGATAATAAAATATAAAAAATTCGATTAATTGCGAATAAATTTATTTCATTTTTATTGCGAAATTTATTACGGAAAATATAAAATGAAGGATGACAAAAAAAGAGAGGACATAGAAATATGATGATGAATAGAAATTTGTTGATTGGTTAATTGAAACGTCTATTTATAATCAGCAGAAATACTTTGAAAGAAAGTAAACGATCGTTCAAAGTCCGTTTAATATTTTTTTTTTGAGGACAATATGCCTATTCCATTAGGACAACGATCAATACCTAGTCCATCATCATGGAATTTAACAATCGATTCAACAGTACTTGTTGTTACGGGGTCAATGTCAATCGGTGCACTCATGGTGCAACTTGTTAATCAATTAGGTTAGTTGAATTTATTCATTTTTTTTATATAAAACATGATCATTAATACGTTGAATATCGGACTTAAGAAAACTCTTTGTTCGATAGACTGAGACAAATAAACGTATCTGTAAAGGTCAGAATCGGTTCGAGATAGCTAACATCAGACAGAATTTATTAGGATATATCAAAGAAAAACAAAATATTTTACTTAGAAACCATTTCAAACAAAGTTTTCAACGCCGTTTAAAAGAAATAAGTATTTTCATGAGTGTGAGGTGTCAAACATTCAATGACTGATACAAGCACCTCTAGAACTGCTCTCTTCCAATTTCAATCACTTTTTGCCTATAAATGATACATAATGTTCTAATAAAAATCCTCAAAGAATTTAGGTTCTTTTTGACATTTGACTAAGCTATGAAAGTTTTTTTCTAGAAGCCCCAGGTTTTCAGAAAAAATTTATTTTGAACTTCTGATTGGAAACTTTGTGCATATAGAGAATTGAGAACAAGATCTCGACTGGCTTTCTGTCCAAATCTATAGCTAGTCATAGTTGTGAGGAAGATATCAAACTATTGAAACTATCACTAGGCAGTCCTCAATACTACAAGGTAGCTGAAAAGCCTGGATATTCTTCTTTCGAACCTACGATACTGCTCCCTACTACATTTGCCGAAATAAAGAAAGATTGTGAGAGAAAGAGGAAATGAACAAAAAGATTTCACTCGAAGAAAAGTTTCTCTTTGTGGTGGTGGGTGTGGGTCTTATCATCCTCACTACACCCACAACCACATTATCACTGCTTTGTATTTGATTGTGTCAAAAAAACAAGATAATCTAGCACGAAATTTAACTAAAGTTGATCAACTGATTTATCAAGACTTTTTTGTATTTGTATTTCATCCGTTTGTTTTCTAATATATTTCAATTTGATTCAATTTAAACTGTTCATTTTTTATTTATGTTCATTAAAAAAAAACTGTTCGATTCTCTGTCGACGTTTTTCCCTTCGATCGCAGTTGAGTTACCGAGTGTAAGATCAATAGCTCGACAATAACAACCCATAGTTTTCAGCAAACATAATAGGAGAGCTGTGGACATGTTTTCCAACGCATTATTTTCGTAAAACATCGAAAAAAAATATAGCAATTGTATTCAGTTCTGGTGTAGTCTTGATTTTGACATGTGTTTCAGACCGAGGAATTCAGGATCTTTTAGTTCAAGGCACGATTGAGGTAACTGTCTTTCCATATCTCAATACAGAGGAAACGAAATTAGGAATTGGTTCGATAAATTATATGAAATTCTGTTGATTTTTTGGCAAATTGTATAAGTTTTTATCAAAATTTCTTGTTTTTTTTGAATACTTTGCGGAGATGGTTGTTTTTGAAATAATTTTATCTTACATATAGTATCAGACGAAAAGGCGGTCTCAGCTCTACTCTTTCGATTACTAAAAACTGCAGGTTGTTGTTGTTCAGCTGTGAAGTTTATAATCACCAGTCTCAAATTCTGGCGTAGACATAAGTCTGAATCTTGGTTTTCACTCTGATCATATTTTATTAGAATCGACTTTGAAAGAAGGTCGAAAATTCTTTGCTGCTTTATTGACTCATTTCATATCTCAAGTTGTATTTGTGAGCGCTCCGCATAGGCAGAGATTTTGTTGTACTCTCGATCTTAATCAATAATTGCTTTTATCTTGTTTTTTTTCGTTGTATTATTGAAAGATGTATCTGAAGATTTTTCTGATCATGCACTTTGGTGGCCAAAAGCGAATATTTGGTTAACAAATACGAGATGGACACTTGATCAATATAGTATTCAGTCAGATAGTTATTTAACATTTACCACTATGCATAAAACAATTCGTATACAATTACCTGATTTACGTGTGTTATCAATACAGGCTGATTTTTCTGTATCAGTTTATGCATCTGTTTGTAAAATTTGTAAAGATCTTGGTAAGATTCTAAATGAATTCATTGATAAAAATTTATTAGTGATTTATTTTATTAGGAGTTCGTCATGCGGAAGAACTTTCACTTTTACGTTTACCAAAAATTTTAAATACACCTGATCGTCGTACATCACCTCGTCGTCGACGTCGACACTTAAATACACTGAATCGACATAATTCCATGGGAGATTCATTAGCTATGAATGCATCTACTAATTCAACAGTATTCTCTCTAACAACATTAAAACCACGATCAACAGTTACAATTGATAAAATGACAGATTCATCATTCCAAAATCAATGTTCAACGTCAAATCTATCAAAATCACTTAATATTTTAACAATAAATGATGATGGAAATCTTGCTCATACACCATTAACACCAAGAAAAAATCTTTTACCACAAATAATTCGATCAATAAATTTAATTGAAAAATGTAAATTAAATAATCTTTGGTGTGATTCATCAACATCGTTAATGGAACAAAATATAAATGAAAACGATTTAGTTTTATTACGTTTTAAATATTATTCATTTTATGATATAAATCCTAAAGTAAAATAAATTGTTTGATTTTGTTTTGTATTTCAATTCTTATTCTTTTTTTAAAGCTTGATGCCATACGAATAAATCAATTATATGAACAAGCTAAATGGTCAATATTAACTGAAGATATAGATTGTACAGAAGAAGAAATGATGACATTTGCTGCTTTACAAGTAATACCAAAAACAACTTTTCCTTTTTCTAAAATGAATTTCTTTATTAATGTTGTAGCTTCAAATTCAAATTCAATCTTCATCATCAACAATAATTACGTCGCAAGACGATGATATAAATCATCAATATGATAATACTAATATTGATCAAGCACTTGAAAATTTACAAAATTCTTTATTAGAACAAAATAAAATTCAATCATCAATAAATTCAGTTCAACAAATCAATATTCATCAACAATCAAAAGAAGATTTACGTGATTATTTACGTATTTTTAAACCAAGACGATTTATATTTAAACCATTTAAACGTTATTGGTTTGTTTTACGAGATACTCAATTAACTTATTATACAAATGAATCTCAGCAATATAATACACCAATTGAAAAAATTTCACTTAAAGGATGTGAAATTCTTCCTGATATGAATATATCAGCAAAAAAATATTCAATTCGCTTAATGATACCATCCATTGATGGTATGAATGAAACGTTAATCAAATTTTCAACAGTACGTTTGAAACTAGTTTTAAAAGAGGCTTCTTTTTTTTCTGTGTTGAAAGGAAGAACAATATGCAACATGGATAGCTGCATTACGTCTCGCATCAAAAGGACGATCAATAGATGAAACATCTTATGAAACAGAACGTGAATCAATATTAACATTATTTAATATGCAAAATTCATCATCAAATCCTCAACAGACAAAATTTAATATTCAAACAGAAAATTATGTTTCAAAAAAAATTTCAAAAAAATATAAAACAAAACAGGTTAGTGAATTTTATTATGAATTTTCTTGTTTTATTTAATTAACACGGACAAATTTATTGAATTATTTTTTGTTCATTTGAAATCAATTCGATATAATATATTATTGTCCGAAAATAAAATTTTATGCATCACGACGATCTTATATTGAATAAGAATTTATTTATGTAAGAACAGAATGAATAGCAAACAAAGAATAAACTATTGTTAATGTAATTTTTTGTTAGAATTTATTTTTCATTAGTTATACTTTTCATTTTTTGTGTAAATAAAGAAAATTTTAAAAAAAATCATAAAAAAAGAATAAGATTAACATGAAATCTTGAGAAGGAAAATTACCGATAACGAGTATATCTTCTTTATCGTAGTAAATGAAAAACAAAAAGAAAAACATTGCATGTATCCTATAATAAACAATAAAAATATAATTGATACTCGCTATTTGTTCATTTGAATATTTAAAATAAACTATAGTAAAATCACCATTAAGAGTGATCAGTTTATAGAGGTATTTGTTATTGAGAGATTGCTAGTTTCTTCTCTTTAGTAATTAATTAATTCAACTTTTTTCATCAAGAGTAAATCAATATGTATGCTGACATTATTTTATTTTATTAGCTTTTAACGCAAAATACGACAAGATGATAAATCAAGCACTAATGATGTTGTCTAATATTGCCTATTTTTCTCTTTTAAATATCTACAACAAGTACATCTCCTTTTCGTACGCGGCACGTGATTATTTATCAATAGCGCAATACACATAACATCATTATTTTCCTTTTAAGACATATGAGCGACAAAACATATGTTGTTCATATTATAGAACTTGTTATTGCTCATGGAACCAGATATAAATGCCTATTGCTTAGAATAAGTACACACTCATTCCTAGAAAAATTTGCTTGAGTGAACTATAAATTGCTTAGTATAAGGAGGTAATCATATTGAGAAGTTTTACTGTATGTATAATTGAATACTATGTTTATGTGCATTCCTCAAGTATTATTTCCATTTATAGTCAAGTATTTACATAGAATATTATAAGGGTTTGCTTTTATTCCATATATAATGAATGATATTACTAATTGAATTATATTCATAACTATAGCTATATTGAGTATGCTACTCGATGAATTTACTTTTAATATAATTTCTTTTTTTCTTCAATATCAAAGATTTATCTTTAAAAATATGAATAGTATTTCTAAAGATCAAGATTTTAATTCCTAAAAAACAGTAAGAAAGTACTTTATAAATTACATATGAAAACAAAAGCAATGATTATATGAACTAAAAAAAATCGTATGTTAATTTCTACTTTAGTTAACTGAACGTATTCTTGAATCATATACTGCTGTGAGTAATTTAGATGGTACAGAAGCTAAATTACGATATTTAAAACTATGGCAATCTTTACCTGAATTTGGTATTTCAACATTTGTTGTTAAATTTAATGATTCAAATAAAAAAGAAGTAAATAAAGAAAACAAATTTTTCTCTTTTCATTTTCTTTCTCTCATGGTTTTTTTTTGTATCTAGGAATTACTTGGTATTGCTTCAAATCGTCTTTTACGTATGACAATGACAGGTGAGACCATAAAAGCATGGTGGATATCACGAATGCGTTCATGGAAGGTCAATTGGGAAAATAAATTATTAAATATTGAGTTTGATGGTGAAACAATAGAGTTTTCACCATTATATGATATTAATAGTAAATGTATACATGAATTTATTGGTGCTTACATTTTTTTGGCTATGCGATCAACAATGAAAATGTCTGATAATGATAATTCACTTCAACAAGAAAAAATTTTTCAACAACTTACAGCTGCATACACGTAAAATATATTTTTTTTTTTCTTTTCAATATGTTCATATCATTTATTTCATTTTAATATGGCTTTGTCAGCATGTTCTACATATATATATATATAAGATAAAGTTTTTTTAAGTTTTTTTTTTAGTCAATATCTTTTAATTCAAATAAATTTTGATAGTTTAGAGTTGATTGTCTCTTTTCTTTTTAAAGTATTGATTTGATCGAAAAACAAAACATATAAACTTTAGTAAATGTAATCCGAAAATGTATTTTAATATGAATTCTAGATATAATTGATCGCGATATCTTATATGATTATCGATGATAAGACAAAGGCCTATGTAATATGATTGGATCGAAAACCAATAGTAGTAAGTTTTATAAATTAAATGAACATTGATCTTCAAGTATAAAATGGAATTAGTCAAATATTGAAATGGAAATTTGATTTAATGAGAGAGGTAGGATAAAAGTGCTTGTAGTTGTAAGTTTGTTTTTTGTTTGAGTAGAATTTAATATTGAATTTATCGTATAGCATTCGCCTGTTGCTTCGATAAAATAGAAGACTAATGAAAAATGTCTCTCAACGGATTCAATCACTTTTTCAATCGGAACTATGTGCATTATGTAAACCCTAATGAGCTATGAACATTCGCAAAAAAGAGTTCGAACCCTTAGCTGACTGCTATGGAGATACTGTATTTTTATAATATTCTTTTAAACTCAATGTTATAGTGCCTATCAAGAAGACTGCATTTCGAGTTGAAACTATGCATACAGACAAATCATAATGAGAATAGTTTATTACGAAAGTTTCAGACCTTTTCGTTGTGCGTATGCTAACATACACTTATGATAGAAACGTATTTCTTACACTCTTGATGAGAATACTGTACGAATACAACTTCTTGTATTTGTAAGCAGATATGAGTACGAGTACTTTTGATGACATTCATGTATTTCTAATATCGTTCCCATGCCATTTGAAATAAGTCAATGCTTAATAGACTCATTTTATTCGTCTCCTTAAATGCTACAAAACATCCATATGCACCTTTTTAATATCGGATCCATTTAACGGAAAATTGTGTTCAAGTGTAAGAGATACTTGTAATTTTAGGCACTATTTGTAATATTTCTGCTGTTTTTCAACAGATTGAAAGTATTGGTGTCTATTATTTGGAACAGTGAAAAGCGACAAACAAAATGACGTTATTGAATATGTATATCATAAAAGACTTCAAGGTTTTATTGAGAATACGTATCAAGCACTATACAAGTACCAATCCTAGATCTGTACTCGACCCAAGGGTTGTATTACTCTAACAGATTGTTGATAGTTTAACAAAACAACTAATCAACTATGTGATCAAGGATATCGGTATTTAACAGCAGTGGCAGTAGTAAATACACGTCTTTTTAAACTTTTATTGTGCATTGTACAACTAAAAATAAAATTTATGTCTTCATAAATCATTACTTTTCACCTCTGTTGGTTGCACTACTTTATTGCACATAGACATTAGTACACTCGATGTTCTTATGTCAGGTTAAAAATAAATCAAAAGGCTTGATATTTCTACAATAAACTATTTTTGTTAAGGGTTGTTTCTGTGCAAAGTTTGAAGTTAAAATTCCAAAAACATTTATGTTGGTATAGACTATAACATTGAGTTACAGAATACCGTAAAAATGCAGTATTTCAACAGCCATGAGACAGAAGTCTGAACTTTTTCAACGTACTCATAGCTCATTATGTTTTGAACGATCTTCATAATCTCAGCTTAAGTGTGATTCATCCAATTACGGTTTCTCTCGTAAGATTAAGAGAAAGAAGTTTTGCTTCATAGATGTAAAATGTTTTTATGAATTATTGTTGAATTACTCTTCTTCTAGTATAAAATACGAAAAAAAAATCAGTCTTTTCCTTCTATCTATGAAACTTTGTTCATCACCGCAACAAAAGCTATGGTTAAGTCTTAAAAAAATTAGACTTTATTACAAATTTTTTTCAATCAAATATCAATCGTTCATTTCTATTAGAAAAAAGCCTCTAAGTCCATTGAATTTCACTTTTGATTATAATGCCAATGAAGTTAACAGTAACAGTTGACCTATTTATCAGCTAGATCAAATTATTGAATCTTTTCTATTCAACCAAAATTTGAACTATTATATAATTGCATTTTTTCCTAATAATTTCTTTCGATCTTGCCAAAATTTATGAACTTCAACAAGAAAAATACTTGTTGTAACTAGTAACGAACCAATTACAATAAACCAATTCGATTTTACATTAGTGAATAAGTTTTGTAATATAATTGCAAGAAGTATATCTGATGATTAAACAAGAGATATTATTGATGGATATTCAAGTTTAATTGCTTATTGTATTAATGTTGATGAAAATACTTGCATTGATGAAACAGATGCAGCAAGAAAAAATTGCCACGTAAACATCGTATGATTAACATATTTATATAGAATAGAACGATTATATACATGATTAAGAATAGGATAAGTAAAAATAACTTGAATAATGACAATTCAAGCATAATTACACTTTGAGAAATTTTTGAAATAAGTAATTTTTTATTAAGTACCATACTAAATAATATTGACAGAGCACATCCAAGTGCAAGACAAAGATCAAGTAAACGATAAGAGTGATTCGATTCGAAATTAGTATGATTTGATTTAACGATTATTATTTTACTTGTATTTGATAATAATTTATGATTATCAAATAAAAATGTTGGCGGAGTAACTAGTATAACACTGATTAGTGTTAATATAATAGCTAAAATAATTGACATTGATATACGTTCACGAAAAATAATCATCGCTAATATAGCTGTCCAAATAACTTGTGTATACCGACATGTTGTTAAATCTAGTAGAGGAATATATAACGATAACTTGCATGAAATAAAAGTAAACTACTTGCTACTAATATAGTATGAACTACTTGTAAAACAATTAAGTTAGTTGAACCATTTATTAATTAATTTTTTTCTATAACTAAGTAGTAAATGCAACCAATATTGATGTTTGTAAGAAAAATCGGCAAAGAAGTGCATCATAGAAATTGATACGTAATTGTTTTATAATAAAGCCCGAACATGTGAAAAAACATGCACCAATAAGTGCATAAATGATGCCAGTGCATCGACTAATAACTCCAGACGGTGGTGTTATTCGGTTTTCTTTAGGTGAATGAAGTGTGAGAATTGATAAACATTTTTGTTCAAATCGATGAAGTGTTTCATCATTGTCAATTGTTGCTATTAATTCATCTGCATCGATTAATGGTTCGATAAGAGGATCAATATTATTAATACCATCATTATCCGTTGACACATTAGTTGTTGATGTGAGTCCCATTGATAAGAGTATCACTTTCGATAGTATATGTTTCTTGCTTCATGTTCTAGAATATATATGTTAATTTGATTTTCTTTTCTATAATACTATTACAACTGTTGTTTTTTTTCTCCTTTCCACTGGTCTTATACATGCGTGGTGATCGTAAAACAACTGACTTTGATTCTAAAAACTTATCATGTATTCTGATTTCTTCTTTTGTGCTTTGGTTAATATTCTTAGTACTTTGAAACTATAATTATAATCATGTAATGATTGTATGCACGTATTTGATCATGAATAAGAGCAAATTTCATCGTTTAGAAAACATTTCATTCGGACTAGCATGTCAATAATACATTTAATTCAATTAATAACTATCTGAAAATTATTCTCGATCTATTGGAATAATTAAAAAAATAGATAAAAGAAAGAAGTAGAGAAATTATTTTTTTTCTTCTACTGATGTTGAAAGACTAGTATGATGTTTTCGGTCTTGCCAAAATTTATGACCACCCACAATAATAATACTTGTTAGAACAAGTGTTGAACCAATTAATGCATATGTATTTGATTTAATATTGGAAAAAACATTCTGTAATATAATAGAAAAAAGTATATCAGATGATTGAACAATTGTAACAATAGATGGGTGTTCACGTTTAATTGATTTTTGTAATAAGATCATTGGAATTAGTTGTAATGTCGCAAGTATTGTTGCACGGAAAAAATCTTTTGTTAAATAATTTCTTTTTATATTAAATTTTTGATGATTTGTTTTCGAATATGTCCAATAATATGTTTGGCTAATTAATAAAAATACAAGAGTTGTTAAAATAAAATGAAACAACATTATACTTTGTCGAACTTTTTTTTCAAATAGTTTTTTAGTTAATACAAAACTCATTGATATAGAAAATGCACATAGTAATGCAACAAATATACCCAACAATCGTTTTTTATTATTGTTTGTTAATAATATTTCTGATGTTTTATTGAAAGTATTTGATTTTGAAAAGATAAATGATGGTTGAGCAACACCAATAACACCCATAAGTGTTAATATACTTGCTATAATGATTGGTATAGTAATCCGTTCTCGAAATATAATTAAAACGAGAAGAGCTGTCCAAACAACTTGTGTATATCGTAATGTGAGTAGATCAGGTAAAGGAAGAAATACAAGACCAATATAAAAACAGACACTACCTGCAGCAGCAGTAAGAGATCGAATAAAAACTAATAAACTATTAGAACACAAAAATGGATGGTAGCCTTTATAAAGCATAAATCCCAATAAAGTAATTCCCTGTAGAAAAAATCGAATAAGAAATACATCTAATAGAATAATATTAAGTTGTTGTATAATAAAATTTGAACTTGTGAATAATACTGATGCTAATAAGGCATACAAAATACCAGAAAATCTTTTCACATGACGAAAACATTTTATAAAACAAGTGATTGTTTTATTGGAATCAATATTTTCGTTATCACATTCAGATTTAATCGTAGCTGATATGTGAAAAACAGATGATTGTCGCCTATAATATTCAGACGTATCACGTTGGTGATCAACTGTCTCTAGTAATGGATCGAGAATAGCAATTGCTGCTTGTGAATATTCAGAAGATGAATCTTCTGTATCTGTCCGTCTTCGGTTTTCCATTTGTTTTTGTGTCTATGAGCTTTATTGAAAGACTATAGACATACTACTTCGTAATCTATCCTTATGTTTTTATGCTTGAGATATAGAAAAAGAAATAAAACATTTTCAAAACACTTACAAACTAAAACAGCAAAAACTATTATTCGAGTCCATATCAAATAACAAACATCGATGTAGTTGATGTCAACCTTAAGAACAAAAAAAAATCAATCAATACTTATCTTAATGGTATTGAAGCGTTAAAATAATTATTATCTATCTGTCTCATAGACTTAATTAAAATTTTATCCTTGTTGTTTTGTAAAAGATTAGAATGTACTAAGACATTGATGCGTGGAAGAAGAGAGGGTCTCGATTAACCAATCGCAGATTGCCTTTGGACTTTGTGCTTATGATAGACTCTAGTGAAACAGAAAAAAGTCTCGAACGAATAAATTCCTTTAGACTTTCTATCCAGAATTACAAGCAGTTTACTGGCATTTTAGCATCTAACATAGTATATGCTAACAAATCGAATCATAGTATTTCGATCTGAAAATCACTGATATTCCACTGAAAGCTACTAGAATCGTCTGTTTTTTGGAACTTTAATATCTCAGAAAGGAAACATTCTTTTGAACTGAAATTTTCAGAACATTCTACTGACAACTAGAGCTGTTTGTGTGAATAAAATCTCAGATCGAAATGTTGTTATTCGATTTGTTGGTATATACCATGCTAGGGGCTAAACTACCAGTAAAATGCCTATAATTCTGGATGGAAGGTCTAAGAGAACTTATGCGTTTGAGATTTTTCTTTGTCTCACAAGAGTTTATCTTATAAACAAAGTCCGAATTCAAAAGTAGCTGATCGTTTAAAAACGTTTCCTCGTAATTAGAACCAATGGCAGTATCTGAAGTCGAATTCTATATAGTTTAGTCACTATAAGAGTAGTTGCTTTTTTGTTGCAAAATCAATAATAATAATAATAATAATAATCAAGAAGACATTTTCTTTGATAAAGTTATTGATGTACTATAAAAAAAATTATTTTATAGATAAATATATTACTCTTGTCCGGTGATTATCACCGCATTTTTTACCCATTTATTTTTGTGTTATTGTGAAAAACTAGTAGTTAATGTCTCTCATTTCAAAGCATGATGAATAATTTCCATACAGATGATGAATCGACAAGATGAAAATTCAAACGTATGATTGGCTATTTAAAGTAATTTATATTTCAAGATTTTTTAATTTTATTCTGTAGCTCACAAATTCACAAAAAATTGCTACTTCATTGTTGGCCGGTGCTTGTGCAGGTATTATCATAGCCTAGAAAACTTATATTTAATTTTTATAATTGCTTGAAAATAGAGTTTTATAAGGATCGATAAATAAGGTTTTCTATATGATAATTTATTTTTTAGGCGCTGTAGCAAAAACCACTATTGCACCATTTGATCGAGCTAAAATTAATTTTCAAGGTAAACTAATTATAAACGTTATCCTGATTTTATAATATTTGTCTTTTAAGTCAGAGTCAATCAATTTAGTTATCGTCTTTGCTTTAAGTTTTTAAGAGAATCATATGTAAATGAAGGTTTTATTAGTTGGTATCGTGGAAATTCAGCCAATTTAGTTCGTGTTATTCCTTCAGCAGCTATTAATTTTGCAGCACATGAACAATGGAAGCGTGTTCTAGGCACAGATAAACATGAGTAAAATGCGTATCAAATGATTAGTAATAACATCAACACTGAATTCTTTATTTTTTACAGAAAAACTCCTGGTCGGCGATTTATTTCTGGTTCCTTGGCAGGTGCTACATCTGCAACTATCACTTATCCACTTGATTTAGCAAGAGCTCGTATGGCTGTAACGAACAAGAGCGTGTATGTATTTTTTTTTAAATCAATTCTCAACGTCCTATTTTTTGAAACACGATCTAGACGTATTGGTGAAGTATGGAAAACAAAAATTTAGACTCTTCTTCATAGATCATGACAGATATTAATCAAAGATCAGCACAGATTGTGACAGACACCAGCTAGAAACCAATCACAAATCGTAATAAACGTTGATATACGATAACAGACAGTATGTCAGTAACGTCTTGTTATAATATATGAACTAGTTTCTACTCGCGTTTGAGAAGCATTAAGTAAAAATGTGCTGAATGAATGTGACGCAAATTACTAGATAAAATAAAGCAATATCTCTAGGATCAGTAACAGCAGCTAGATCGTGTTTCATATTTTAATCAAGCAGGGATTGTGCTAAGTGTTTTTCTTATGTATGATCAATAGTTGATGATATAGATTTCTTTTTGTTGATATATCCATATTCATAACGAAATGTAAGTGTTTGTTTTTTTTTTCATTTAGGTACAGTAATTTATTTTCTGTCTTTCTAAGCATTCTACAGAATGAAAGTATCACCGCTTTATATCGTGGAGCACTTCTATCCATAATTGGTGTATTACCCTATTCTGGTTTTGTTTTTTTTACTTATGAATCCTTAAAACATATTCGTACAGGTAGGTAAGAACAAATGTATAGAAAAAGTTTTAATTTTGATTTCATATTAAAGATTATGATCCTCATCGCCCGATTAATAAAACTGAACGAATGTTATTCGGTGCTATTGCTGGTCTTGTAGGTCAAACAGCATCGTATCCATTTGATGTTATTCGACGTCGATTGCAAACGGCTGCAGTTATTCGACCTGATGAAGCATCTCTAGGAGCTATAGCAACAGCACGTAAAATAATTCGTGAAGAAGGAATAAGACGTGGTTTATATAAAGGTGTAACGATGAATTGGCTGAAAGGGCCTATATCTGTTGGAGTATCATTCATGACTTTTGATACTTTGTTAAGATTGATCCGTCGATCGTCTATGTTTACTCAGAGTTAATCATGGAATCTTAGATGATTTTTTTTGTTATGTATTTTTTTTTTGTTTTTCTTCTCTTCCATGAATTAGACCCACTTTGTTCTTTTTTTTTGGTATTAACGTGTGATTGTCTTTTTTTTCTTGAAAATGATAGTACGATTTTTTTCCAGATGATCTATGATTTCATACGTATATTTCATACACAATCTTTTCAATTACTAAAACGCTCCCTTTGTCGACGGTGGCAATCGTCTTCATCGTATGATCCAAAAGATAACGATTTAATACCACCTACAACATGTTGTATGAGTAATTGTGCAAATTGTAAATGAAATATTTTCATTTTTTTAAATTTTGAAACAAGAAAAAAAGGAATATTTTTTGTTTTAATTAAATCTAGGTGTATGGATTTCATTTGCTGAAGAAATTGCACAACGTTATCCTCACTCGTCTATGGAAGTGATAGATGATATTTTAAAGCGCTATATTGATGATCAAAGTTTTCGAGAATTTTTAGAATACGAAATTCAAGCACGATCAATGGGAAAGAAATAGTAGTTTGAACATAACTATTTCACATCCTACTTATAGATAGTAAACAAATATTTGTATCTTATTTTTAATGTTGTGCTATGTTCTACCATAATTTTCGTGTTCAACTGTCAAAATTGTTACCCGGTTTTTTTGTAAAGAATCTCCTTTGCTTTTTTATTTTAATCAAGTAAATAGATTATTCCTTGAATTATGTAATGATAAAACTATTTACTAATATAGACAAAACCATTGATTAGCAACGTGGCTTCACAAAATTAAAACACATGTATCTCGAAATAATGAACTTTTCGAGAGTTAATTTGTATATGTTAAATTACTCTGAATACTCTAACAAAATCAGTGTTAGAGATTTTCGTTCAGCGGAGTTATCAGTAAAACACTAGCGTTAGCAACGTGACACAAAAATGGCCATAAATTTTGACTTCATACATTTTAATTTAAAAAGTTCCCAATTGACACAACATTTTTGAAACCAAAATAGCACATCCTCTGGAATACTCATGAGGCTACAAAATCTATATTCAAAGTTTTTTCTGAGCATGTCTATATTTTTCAACAGAATGGATTTGCTTTTCGTTATACAAGACAATGCTCTGCTAACGGAATGAGAAGTTTAAAGACAACATCAAACGATACAACTTCTTTAGAATCTCTAGATGATGTTAACACAATAATTTTTTGTTTCAGAATTTAGAAAACAGATTTTGAAGAGAAAGCTTTTTCGAGTTTGATCTTGCTGAAAATTTCGACATAGGTGTAGTTAGTATTGTAGAGTTCATCTTGAAGTTTTCGGATTTTTTTCTCATACTGTTAGAGAGATATTTCCTCAATTTTTAATTCATACGCAGCTGAAAGAGTCAACGTTTTTACATATGTTTATGCTAAAAAGAATTTATTCATAAAAATAAATATTGTAAAGAACCAGAGGCAAATAAACGGTAAGAATGTCCTGTTTTGCTTATAATGGCCTATATAACGATTTTGGACAAAGCTATACGTTATACCATCAATTACAAACAAATAAATTTGTAATACATTACGAGCAATTGACAAAGAGAACATGAATGATCTATGAATTATTTGCGTGATACATATTTATATGCATCGGAAATAGATCCCCGTAGCGTTGAACTGTTTGACTCCGACTCGAGAAGCTTTTTTGACCAGTATATTGCTTTCTTGAAACTTACGACTGTAGTGCGTTCTTATTCATTATTCAATATAAAAAAAAGAATGCTATACGATTACTCGGAATCCGTCGGAGTCAAGTTTCGCAGTCTGAAGGTCTGCTCTAATAGAAAATCGTTTTTTGTTAGTGTTAGTCAAGGGAAAAAGATCTGTCTATGATCTATAGTACATGAGTTCAATAAAATTCTATCGATTGTAAATTCAAGAATTGGAAGATAAAAAGTATAATTATTGCAAAATCACAGAGAAATCCAAAGTCGAAATTTAAAAATTGTTTTTCTTTCTTTCAGTGCAATGATTCTTTTACAGTAACCGATTTTGTCGTTGTGTTTTGAGGTACTGTAGCAGCAGGTGGTGATGTTAATAATTGAAGATCAGAGTATCGTTGTTTCCAACCACGTAATTCTTGTGATAATGCTTCATTCTCATGTCGTAGGTGAGAGATCTATTGAATGAATATATGCGAATAAGATTTTGTTTCTTTTTATTATTTTTATTTACCTGTTCCAATAATTCACTTCGTTCAACAGATAAATTACCCACCATTGATGTTTGTCTATGGCGGCTACTTGCTGCATAGCCCTTATTTTTAAGAATACGTCGACGACGTTTAATAGTTGCTGCCTCATTCGGTTTCATTGATTTTAATAATGTATTTAATTCTTTAACACTCATTGTCATAATTTGATGATCATTAATCTTACAAAAAAATAATAAATTTTCATCATTGTTATCAATTTAATTTATAAAATAAACATACTGGCAGAGACTCGTCTAATCGATCATCTTCGTTGATATCATGTTTTATCGTAGTCATGATGAAAGAATTAAAATCTGAAGCGTTTATAAAATTTTTATGAATATAGAACCGTACATAGATTTATAAGTATTACTTCAAAAATCAAAAATAAGGTTGCCAACTATTATACTTACCTCAGTAACGCTTACTCATTATCACAAATTCGGTTATGAACAACTTACTCATAATGAATATAGGATTCAATACTATGTTTATACATGATTAACTATTAATTCAAATAAGAATAATGTAACATCAACTTCATTTCTCATTATTATTTGTATGTGTGTCTTATGTATATTGCCATCTTTTGTTGAACAGTTGAAATTTTATTTCTATTATGATCTGATCATATAATATATATATATTGGATTTGTTTCCTTAATCGACGATTATCTTGCAAAATGATATATTAAAATTGAGGTGGATGTGTTTCTAATCTATCCCATGTATTTCAACGCAATCTCGAAATTTGAAAAATAATTGTTAGCATAATAAAATCATTATTTGTATTAATAATACATTAAACAATATATTATTTTCGACATGATTATTGTACAGTTTAATAAATACTTGAGATCAGTCTTTAATCATTTGTCTTCAATTTTGAATTCGTACCAAATTATTATAAAAACACCTAAATGAATAAAGATTTAATATTATAATATAATAAATTTTGATACGTATTTAATAAATGACAAGCGGTTTTCAAATGAATTTGTGAAATTTGTTTCGATCAATAAAAAATAATCTTATGATTAAAGTTAAATTTTTAAAAAAGCAAAAAAATGAAAAATATCCTTTTTTATCGTTTTTAAAATAAGCGAATTGTACTATAGTGTAAAATGCTAAACAGAAAATAGAATAATTATCATTTTAAATAAACAAAACAAAGCCAAAGCAGTTTACTCGTTGGACTATGGTTATGAAATCGCTTCGTTATTTCATAAAATGACAAGTTCTAATGTGTTTCTTCGATGAGAAATCACACCATATGACAATATTATACAGTTCACATATGAAGAATGACCTCCGTGAGGTAATTTAACAAATAAATTGAGTTAGAATACAATGAAAACTTTTTTAGTATGTCAGAAAGAAAATTGAATGGATTTGCAATGCTCGTCTAAGTTTTCATTAAAAAACTTATTCTATCTGTTTGATAAGTTGCTAAAATATACTCAAATCGAAAGTTGAATTGATCAAATCAACTACTGATGTTTTCGCTAAATTTAACAGTGCTATAAAAATTCATAGTCGAATCGAATATCAAACGATTAATTCAATTTTGAAAAATCTTCAGAAATAAATATAGTTATCACAGTAGATGCTTTGTTAAAAGTAACTGAAATCAGCTAATTTGTATTAGAAGAAAACATATCGACTGATGTAGTTAATATTTCCATTAGTGTTTTTCTATGAGAGAGCGAATTTTTTACAAGAAATAAATGAAAAAAAGAGTTACGTTTCAAGACAAAAAATAGTGGCATAACAACGCGCTTAGTCAGTAAGATGTAGCTCATCATGCTGATGATGCACTCTTTGACAGTGCATTTTTTTTGGATATAATTGTGTTCATTGGACAAAAAAAGAAATGTAAAACGACAAGATGAAATCTTTTCTGACATAACTGCTGCAAACAGATAAGATTGAGTCATTGATAATCTATCTACGTTAGAAATATAGCTATAGTCAGGTTTTGCTTATTAAATTTTACTACTTAGTCATTAATAAAAAACAGAATTACTCGAATACTAGACCAATAATAAAAAAGACATTTCAAGATGTCAGTGTTAACTTGACAGAAATAAACACATGGTTGTTACATACAGTTAACCTCTTCCGACGGAGTTTCGTTTGAAGATAATGGGATATTTTGCCTTTGCACAGCGTCTGAGGAGACTACAAACAGAAAAATTGATTACGATATGTCATAAAACCAACCCTTATATGATTTCAATATAGAATTCTGAGGTATATTGAAGATCTCACAAATGACTTTTCTCACACACTATAGTTTTGCTTTTAAGCGTGATGAACCTCGCTGTCTTGTAGATTTGAGCCTCTTACTTCATCCATTCATGAGTGTACAGCTATTTTTGAATAAATTGGATTATTACTTCTACGAAAAAACAGTCTACTTGTCAACAAACGATGTTTTTTCAACACAAACATACAGAAAAATATACAAAAATCTCATTAGATTTGATAAAATTTTCTGATGTTTTCTTTACAGGTTCCAAACTTTTTCTTGCATCCTTTGATAAAGAAAGTTAAGTACTCTCCTAGAAAAAAAATTTGGTGTAAAATTTGTATTCCTTAGGTCTAGAAAGTAGTTTTTCAAAACAGGTGAAATATACTGAAAAAATCAATTTCGTGAAATAGAGTCGTTGTAATGATATGATCGTTTAAAGCGTGTTAGAATAAGTGTATGATAAAATTTTCACACATGTGAGATAAACTATCTCCAAGATATCGATGTTTAGCTGAGTGGGTAGTGTGAGCACCTAAGTAAATCAGAATGAGGTGCCAGAAGAATTATGTTTAGAGCACATGCAAAAATATTTGATTTGCGCAACTCACCAACGGTTTGGTCGTTTCTCTCTTACAATGGCTCATAAGAAATGCAAAGAAATAGATGAAGATAAAGAGCAATGCTGACTGATGACCGGCATTCTCAAGTAGATCTAAAAAGTATCATAAGAGACTCTCATAAGTCAGTTGCGAGTTGATTCAGAATCATCACCTATATATATGTGATCCATCCGGATGAATTTAATGCCGTTGTTTCATGTAGAATAGTTTTTAATATGTGTACAAACAGTAAATAGAATCTTGTAAAAATTCGACTTGAAAAGTATGTACCGGTTTGAACAATTATATCAGTAAACATGTACCTGATTTGAAGATATACTGAAAAAACTCATAGTAACAATACTACTATAGAATAAAAGGAAGACAACACACTAGATTTTTAAAATTATTTCAATGTACATTAAAATCCACATTTGTCACCATTACTTTTGTTATAATGACAGTAGATCGGATTCTCGAGAAAGAAAGATGCATGCATAAATTTTTAAAGCAATACTGTATGTCATTAAAAAGGCTCTAATATACTTCCTGTTTCATTTCAATCAATTAAATAAACACATTTATAAACATAGATGTGTTACAAGTGCCTACTTTATTTTCATAGTTGTAATAGGTTGTATAAAATAAATTCTCTGTTGATCCAATCATGTAAGCACTCAAGAAAAAAGAAGAAAATTGCATAAAATAAAACAAACAAATAATATATGATATCATATAATAATTTTACATTCTTGCAACAAAAAAAAAGGTTTCTTAATTAGACTTTGCATTGAATTACCAGAAGCTTTAGTTATTCTATCATTATTTATTAATATTAAAATCTTTTTCAAAATTTCTCGGTATATTTATTTCTGAAGCAAGAAAAAAAACGAAATTTGGTATGTATCTCTCAAATGTCTTTGTTATTATTTGCTCACTTTTCAATGCTATAAGCAACAATAATTATCAACACTTTGAAAATGAATTGTTATTTGTTGACCGAATTTCTCCTGTTATGAAGATCATTAGTAACTGACAAATAATTTATTCATTTGTTAATATAAATTGAGTTATTCATATACAATACGTTTATTATTAACCAATGAAATGCAAGTTGCATTGATGAAGAGAGGTTGTCGCTCAGTTTTTGAATCCTGTTTCTATGTCTATGGTCATTCAGTATTTTATTTTCTATTTTGTCAGTCTATTATTCTCTCGAATCATACATGGAATTGAAGTAAGTCCTGGGTTTTCATAAAGAACTTTTTGACTTTGGAACTTTTTCTTCGCTAGTTGTGTTAGCTCAACATTTCCTAAATCGACCAAATCATCTAGAGGTCGATATTCGGAATTAACTGCAGAAGAAAATGATGAAATTAAAGAAGTATTTGAATTGTTTGATAATGATAAAGATAATGAACTTGATTATCATGAGTTCAAAGTATCGTTTTCTAATTTGATTTTTATTCTGCATATATATTTTTGTACTTGACTAGATAGCACTTCGTGCATTAGGTTTTGATATCCAAAAAGCAGAAGTAGAAAGACTAATGCATGATTACGATCGACAAGGAACAAACAAAATAACGTATCATGATTTTCATGAAGTTGGTAAGTATTAATTCATTTTAAAGGTATCTTATTCCCTTTTTTTAATCCTAACTTCCGTTTTTTTTTGTAATCCTCGTACAGTCTGAAGTATGATTTATCTATCAAGTATATTTCTGGATCCAAAAATGTCAAAGAAATCGAGACAAAATCAAATTTAAGTAACGGAAATAACGAATCGCATTTTTCTTGACCAACTTTTTCATGAAAAAAAAGGTGTAGAAAAACTCTTGTTTCTCCGACCTAGTATATTTGATCAAGCTGGAACTTTTTTTTGCATATATCCTATACACTGTTGACAATGGCTACTAGTTTTGTTTTAAAAGATATTGTCCTGCTAATTTTTGGTAGCTCTTGAAAAAAACAGGTCTATGAAAAAAAACATGTTTTTTTAAGGCACCTTCGACACTTTGGCTTGTTTGTTCGATGGATAACAATCACAAGATAACTATCGCAAACAGTGTTTACTATTCGTGTCAAAATATGATGTATTATATTGATTTTCGAATAACTTTTAATGGAAACATCATAGAGACCTGTGGTTCTCACCATTCAAGAGAGAAGATCTGAAGCCATCGAAGTATATCAAATTTCGATCAGTCAGCTATTGATCGATCAGGTGAGTTCCTGGTGGGGATTGTCAAAAACGATATTCTGAAACTATTTCCATTCGAATTTAAACTTGTAACAAGAATAATTGATAGAAAAATTCTTCTCTTTAGATCTATGTCAGGTAGATATTCATAGTCTGTTCCATTCAAGAGGTATATATCTTTTTCTGAGACCTCCATTGCCAGCTAATAGACCTGTAGCCAGTCCGTAAAGAAGTGGTAACTCACCATACTGAGTCGAATAGTGATATTTATTTTTAGATTCAAAATGATTTGAATCTGTTATCTCAAGGTCATTTCGAACCTTAAAATAAATATTACCGTTCGATTCTGCGTGGTAAATTATCGCCTGCCTAGTTACTTTTCCAGGTGATCACAAATCAATTGACTGAAATCGAGGCTCTCAAGAAAGATCTATGACTCTCGAGTGGAACAAGTGAGGAATGTCGGTTGTGCATAAACCAAAATGGAAATAGATTCAGAATATCTTTTTGTCAAAATCTCCACTAAGAACTCATCTGAATGTTCGATTGTTGGCAAATGCAATTTCAATATACTTCAATAACTCGGGATCTTCTCTCTTGAATGGTGAAAATCACAGGTTTCTATGATGTTTCTATCAAAAGCTATTTAAAATTCAGTGTAGTACACAATACTTTGAGATGAATAAATAATAGTACCTCCAAAAACAATATTCAGTTCACTCCAACATACCATCTCGGAGCAACAGAGACAAAACCTGGGATCATCCTTCATCATTATAATCCCAATATCTCATAGAAGACAACATTCGAGAACTGTGAGTCAACGTTCATTTTTGCTCTACTCGTCAAGATCTACTTGTTCTGAAAGTTTTAAAATTTTTTCCAGAGAGTCTTGCTTCGGGAAAGGATACCTTTAAAGACATTAAATTGAATGATTTAAATTCATTGTATATTTTTTGTCTCACTTAAGCTGGTGAAATGGTACTCCAACGGGATTTACATGAGGAAATTCTTAAAGCTTTTAAACTTTTTGATGATGACGAGACTGGTAAAATTTCATTGAAAAAATTACGACGTATTGCACGGTAAAAGAACAAAAAAATACTAAAATAAATCGATTGTCCTAAAATGCTTTACTATTAACAGAGAAATAGGTGATAATGTTAATGAAGAAGAACTTAAAGCAATGATTGATGAATTTGATTTAGATGGTGATGGTGAAAGTAGGAGATGTTTTGTTTTAATATTCAACAATTCTGACGTTTTTTTTTCTAGTTAACTTCGATGAATTTATGGCTATGCTTAATTCAGACTAATACATTTGCAATGAATAAAGAATGTCAGATATTATCGCTTTAATTTTTTGTACACATGTTAATTGTAGACTTTTTTCTTGGGATAAAATTTTGTAAAATAATTATTTTTGGGGTGTGAACTTTTTCAATGTTAATTTTAACATATATTTGTTCTTTTAGATAAAAATGTTAAGTGAGGATTGGCTTGATAATGAACCACCAACAACAAATGTAAGTTTTTCACTTAAAAGTTTTTTTTTCTCTATTTACAATTCATCTAACCTACATGATTAGTCAAAAAAGAAATCAAAAGGAGCAGCGCGTGTACTTGATGAACCAATTGATGATACATTTGATACCTTACTCGAAAGTGCTTCAAAGGTGATAAAAGCGCTTTCATTATATAATAATTTCTTTCTAATATAACATATCAATAAAATTAGTTTCAGTTTTATTGAATATATCTGTAATAAACCAATGCACTCTATTCTTAATCACTTGTGAGTACTAATATCATAATAATTTAGAAAAAAAATAATAATAAATAAATGAAATTAATCATACACGCTTTGCTTCGATTTGATTTGATTTGATTTGATTATTAATCTACAGAAAAATGATACAGAAATCTTCTTATATTTACAGTCTGCTAACCTTACAGCATCATTAAAATCAAAATCAAGTCGACGACCTAATGCTGAAGCAGCAAGTGGTTGGTCAAATGATGTTAATGATGAAAATGGCAGTTTGTATGTTATTTATTGTTTAGAATACAATTTTGAATTTTCATGTTTAAAAAAAAAACAAAAAAATAATTATATATAGAGATATCTCATCTATGCCTACTTCTCAACCGCCAATGATTCGACAAAGTAATCGTCGAGCAGCAGAAGAAATCATTGCTACAGGTAAATTTTAAAACAAAATGAACACTTAACAATCCTAGAAATTTATGCCACTTCTTGATGTCTCGATTCGCTTCATTTAGAATAGCACTATAAAAAGTATATTCCTTTCACCAATATGATTTCTAAACCATAGAACTTTATAATCACTATACTCATTAATTATAGTATTGTAAAAAGATAATTATCGCAGTGATCACAATTTTAATAAGATTGGAGAATATTATACTTGAAAAACCTAAGTTAGAGATAAGTCGGATTACATATTGAACTGAAAAAACGTGATGCCTTCGTAGTTAGTTCAACTTTTTAAAGACTATCATTTATTAACATAAGTTTTCACAATTGTAATACTCAGTGATCAATTTCAGAAAGCCAGATCGGTTACTACTTTTAACACACAGATTACTATGGCTCTATATAATTCTGATTGAAATCAGATTTTTCCATTTTGAAGATAGATTGCAATAAGTTTTTATCGTTTTTGATTTCTTACTCTAGTTTTTTATTGTATTTAATTGAATAGTGCCATTTTAGTCATTTTTTTTCTGTTTTCTCACGTGGGAAACCTTCCTTGAAAGAATAAATAAAGTCTTGATCGGGTAGCCCATCGTGAGGCCTGATACTTAATCTATTTATTTTTTATGCTAAATAGATATTCCTACGATTCCTATGGATGATGCTGATGCGGATGATACAATTGATATGACTCCACAAGTAGCTGTTGCTCCCGAGTAAACAAACATTCCCTGATAATTTTTTGTGAAAAATTCTTTGTTTTTTTTTTAAAGATTTTCTGTTCATCAAATAGCTTCATTCAAAGAAATTGAACATGAATTTTCTCGTGAACGTGCTAGTCAATATATTGTAAATATGATCATCAAATAAATATTGCAGATACATATATATATATTTTGTAACTAGGATAGCAAAATTGATATTGGTATATTATATCATAATCTTCATTTACAAGAAGAACTCGATGCCGAAGTAAAAAATTATCATTTTTGAAATTTTCTTTCTTTTCTAAATATTTATTTCATCTAGGAACAAAAACCTTGGGATTGGGACAAACTATTTGTTGAAGTTCGAAATTCTATAACGAATCCAACAATGGATTCATAATATCTTATCTAATTTTATTTTCAATATATATGTATAAACAATAATAAATTCCACAAACAAAAAATAACTATTGAAAAAAACAAAACAAAAAAAAACTCTTCTAAAAAAATTAATTTACATATAACATCTTATAACACCTGTTCTAAGATTAAAACCAATAAGTATTTCTTTATTAGGTCCAATAACTACACCTAAACAGTATTTGCCTTCAATTCGTCCAACAGATTGATTTTTTGTATTAAAATGTATAAATAAAGAACGTTTTACAATTCCATCAAATGACCAATCAAATTTAAGTAATAAACTACTATCACGTGGAAATAAAGCAATGCCCCCTATATTCATATTTGTACCAGCACTGAAATGACTTGTAAATATTCGTTCACGAGATATTTTATTATAAATATATACTTGTTGTAAATCTTTACAAAGTATAGCTAATAATTGATGATTTAATGCAAGACGGAATGGAATAAAACTTGATTCATTATCAAATGAAATAAAACTATCACGTTTTGAAAGTATTGATGATATTTCATGTGTAAATAACGGTTGGGCATGAAAAAATATTGTTTGTGTCATAGAATCAATAGCCCATAGACGATTTTCATCTGCAAGATATTGATGTATAGGATTTGATAATTGAATAGGTCCATGTTCAAGTATTCCATCATGAGTAAAGAAAAAAAGTGAACCATTATCATGTTTTTGATGAACATGCAAAAGCATAAAACGATTAAATACAGTAAATGATTGTACAAGAATATGTGTTTGTTCAGGAAAAAGACTAATTGATCGAATATAACGTGGTGAATCATATGTAACTGGTGAAATATATGTTAAAATTGATACAATACCATTTGTACTACAACTAAAAATTAATGTTGATTTACCAAGTGGATAAACACAAAGATGAGCTGGAAGTGCTTTAATAACTACTGTCCACATTGGTAATTTTGGTGGAATTGATTGAAGTGATGTATCACCATAAGTATTTATCATTGATTGATCAGATGATGAATTTGATGTTTTCGATTCGGATTCAATCGATTTGTAAAGAAGTTCACCGAATATATTATCCAAGGAATTTTCCGTTGGAGAACTAAGCATCGGTACCTAAAATAAGACTATATTTGTCTTAAAGCCTTTAGGTATGATTTTTGCTATAGCAACATTTGCATAAATGATAATTCTGCTTTGCTTTTGTAGAACTCACGTTAATCGAAACGGGGGCAGAACAGATAATAGTGATTGGATTCATTGCCATAGCAGTGAAACAAGCTGTTGATCAGTACGTAGCGTTGACGATTATCACTGAGGCATAGGTCTACACATGTACGTATAGAATAACCGTGAAGACCAAGCTTTTCTCGAACGAGAAAATCGAAGTCGAGAATTTCGATGGATTCTCTATAGTTTCGAGTTTCTTGGCCCTGAAAAGTTTTAGCCTATTTTTATAGAACGCAGCTGTTTTTCTTTTCAAATGACCTGCCCGACGAAAAAAATTGGAACTAATCCAAGGCTATCATAGCCCTATCATTCATTCATCGTTAGTCTATAGGTACATGTTTACATCAGTACAAAGCTGTACATAAGACGCATGCTATCGGTGGACGGTGAACCATAACAGCTACATCTCTAGGTGTTTAATGGCATTAAAATTAAGATTTAGATTATTCTAGAATATTTCAATGCCTTCCTCAAAATTTCAATAGCTAAACTATGTTCTAAATAGTACAACTTGAAATATTTGAGCAGATAAAAATCTATATTCCAGATATCAAGAATGATGGATAGGAATGTACTGATTTGCCACAGTTGTCATCTAATCAACATAGAAAGCGTGAAGTGATCAAGTTATAATTTTGCAAAATAACCAATATCAGCATTTCTAAGCTTATCGAAATTTGTTATAGTAGCTGAGAGTTGCTGTATATATAATGGACATGTACAACAAGCTTATTTTCCAGTTAAATGAATGGTTAAAATGATAATAATGTTAAATTAAGAAGTACGAAATACCAAAATGAGAAGCAACAAGGCAAACAAAAAATTGAGAGCTAATAAAGAAAGAGAAAATTACGGTGTTCGAAATTCAGAAATAAATAAGATAGATCGTTTCCATGACGATCGATTATTCTTGGAAAACAACTATAGTTTGCGAGAAAGTTTTCATTTAACATATTTCGTACAAGTATAATAAATCTAAAGAAAACATGTGAATTTCATGTTTTAATTTCAAAGGAACTGTGATGGCAAGCTTTTTTAAAATAAAATAAAAATAACTAACTATATCTGCTTTGTGTTTGAGTAATCGTAGTTGTCGATCAGCTACATCAGTTAAACGCTTGATTTCTTTTTCAACGTTGATATTTTCAAGAATATTTTCACTGTTCCTACAATGTAATATAATCTAGATTAATGAACGCATTAGAAAAAACAAAAAATATATACCTCAAAGTATTTAATCGAGGTTCAACTAATCTAGATACTGTATTAATATCAATAGGTTGATGTTTTAATCTAGAAATTATTATTTTTTTATCGAAAAACAAAACATATAATGTATTCATATATAGATTTACGCATTGATATCATTTGCTTTTTGTTGTGTTGTTAGTAGATTTTCAAGTTCTTCTTGGTATTTATCAATTTGTGTAAAAAAACTTCTAGTTTGTTGATCAATTATTTCATGTAATTGATTTGCTTGTTCATGAATTTTTTCTAATGATATTGATTTCTGATTTTCTATTAAATATTCACAATTTTCTATTGTTTTTATTATTTTCCTTTTAATATTTCCATTATCTATTTCACATTTTTTACATAACTTTCCATTATCATCACTTATATAATTTTTTTGACATGAATCACAAATATGATGACTCTTTTCTTCTCGTAAATATTGTTTAACCATAGTTGCTAATGTGCCATGTGATATAAGACTATTAGCAAATCGATCAAGATTATCAAATGGAATTCGAGTTGAACAAATGGGACACATGACTAAAAAGCGGACGATGTATTCTATTAATTGTACACAAAGGGTGTCCCAGAATAACTGAGAAAATATTGTCAACATACTTTTTCTTGACTTAGAAGTTTGAAATTTTTATTACACATATATCTAACCAAGATCTTTAATTTTCTAAAGTTTCAACTCTCGAGCTGAAGCTAGTGCTGATATGCATAGAAAAGATTAACATACATGAATCATGATACTAGATTTTTACTATCGAGTAAATAGTGACAGAGTGGCGAAGGATCGTTTTAATTGAGTGGTCCATAATAAATTAAATTTGTCCCGTTTTACTGTGTAGTTTTTTCAGTTACTATGACTTTCATAAATTTTACTTCGTTTCGTTCCTTTGCAGGGTTCGACTCGAATTGAATCCGGTTACGAAAACATTTTTTTGATTTCGAAGTATATCTATCGACTGTGCTCAGGTTGGGTCAATAAAATTTGGCCTATGGCGGACACTGTCTCTTCGGAGTTTAAGTGAAACAGAGACTACGCTCTCATCGACACTCTGTTCGGTTTATACTTATTATTATTAAAATTGTAAAAGAGATGTAAGTATAGAAAACTAAAACGCGACAAATTTTATTTCTCCTGAATCTAGATTGTAACTGGATATGGATGCGTTTCTATATACAAATCTTTTAGATTTATTAAAAATTTTATTTTAATTGCCTATCAGTTACGAAAACACAAAAGATTATTAATGGCTTGTATTGAATTTAAACTGTTTCAAAACAACATTGAGTATTGGTCGCACAGTTCTTAAGCATAATTATTTGATGAACGTATTGGATCGAAAGATAGCAATGCTAGATTTATTCATGTACGAAGAACTGAAAATATAGTGAACCGAAAAGTGTCTGATCCGTCATTATGTTTAAAAAAAAGAAAATGAGAGAGAATGAAAGGAACTTTCAAAAGAAAAATAGATGAAATATCTTAACAATTACAATGGATCAATAAAACCAATCCAGAGATTGTCCATACATATAAATTTTTATTATGGTTTACGTTTTTGATAGAAATTTGTTTTGTAAAGTTTCTTTCTATCAGATGTTGACAAAGATCACTGGTCAACACATAAACATGCCACAAAAGAAATCAAATATAAAATTTCATTGTATTTTACTCTTGTCTATGCATTTCAGCACTATTTTTAGCTAGAGATCTGGCACTTTGGAAAATTACGAGCTCAATTAAGTATTACACGTAATACAAATCTTAGCCTTCTACGTAAAGAAAAAGTATGTTGATAATTTATCGTCAGTTATTGTAGGATATCCTTTGTTAATAACAAACATACTTGATTTATTATTGCTCATTTTAGCTAATTCTAAACAGCATGAACGACAAAATGCATGGCTACAAATTAGCATAACTGGATCATTGTATAAATGTGATTCAGAAGGTTTAACATGACATGAAACAAAATCACGAGTAAATAATGGCATTATTAATGTAAATCTACAACCAAAATAAAAAGTTAATAAGTTATAAGAAAGATGACTATTAAAAAAATAACAACAATACATATATACAGTGTCTCTAAAAATTATTGAACCCAATTTGTTCTCAACTTTTTTCCACTGCCATCAATACTAATGAAACCTATCCTCAGAAAATTCATGTTAGAAATAAAATTCTTCATATGAATCATTAATTAAATTCTTATTATCATTGATAGTAGTGTAAAAATGAGCTGAAAATAAACTCGATCGAATAATTTTGTACAACACTGTGCATATATATGTGTAAATGTGACTAGATAAGATGTAATCATATTATTTGACATAGCATTGAATGATGAATGTGTTGGAATCGTCGGTTGACATAGTAACAAGAAATTCTGTGTCAGATTTGCCTTTAGTTATACTTAAATTTCTATTTGCTTTAATAAATTCGATGGATTGTTCATTGTCTAATTGTGTTAATAATATAATATGAGGAAAACGATATATTAACATTTGATTAGTAAGTTCAATATCGTACGGTTGTAAATCTGTTAATGGTGTTTTGATTTGTTTTAAATAAGATGCAGTATATCTATCGAATAGAAGAATTATTCCAGTTGATGCCCGATCCATAACAGCAACAAATGTTTGGTTAGAATCAAATCGATATGGATTAAAAGATTGTTGTTTAAATGAAATAAATTGTGTTTTTTCAGGTAGATTCTTATTGATAATATCATTTGATTGAAGTAAAAAATAGAAAATTGTTGATGAAATTAATTCAAGACACCATAAATAATTATGATCAAAACGAATTTGACTAATGTATTCATTAAATAATGTTACAGAATGTAAAAGAAGACCATTATGTGAATAAAAATCAAGAATAGATTCTACAGATGAATTGAAAATAACAATGAGAGAAAATACACAAACTGTAAGTGATTTAATGATAACTGGTTGTGGTTTTTCATTATATTGTAAATAGAATGTATCGATGAGTGATAAATTTAATGTCGTATAACTATAAACAGATACATAACCATATTCAGTGCAAATAAATAGTTTTGATGATTCAGATTCAAATACAATATGAGATGGATGACAAACACATGTCACTGACCAAAGAAGTCGGGATGTTGATGATTTTACTAATGAAGTTAATAAATTTGTGTCAGGTAAAATGAGTTCACCAAGTAAATGAATAGGTATGACTGATGGTTCGGTTAATATTACATTCTTATGTAAAATTGATTGTTGATTCAGATCATGATCTAAACTAAATTAAATGTTCTTGTTTTTAATGTATATTAGTATTTTTATATCGACGAAAACTTACTCGGAAAATGGCTGTTCATTTAGTGACTCATAACCGGAACTTGAGTTTGTTTCTTCATAATATCTATGGAATAATGAAAAATGAGTGTGAAGTTAAATTCAATTATCTCTTACTTTTGTTCATTTATTTGAGTAAATATTGATTCACAATATGTGTCAATCTACGACATACTTGGTCAAAATGATTTAATACAGATAATATGATTAACATAAAGATATAACAAACCTGATCAATGAAATCGAAAGCACAGAAATCAATATGCATTTTCATATTTTCAAGTTTATCCTTTGTCCCTTGAATAAGTTGTTGATTCTTTCTCACAAGTAAACGATATTCATTAATAACATGAAGAATATTCTTCTTTAATTCCATTCGATGATCAATGAGACATTCACGACATATTTTTTTATTACAATGAATACAAAATTCAAGATGATCAACATTTAAATCTCTATTAATCACGTTAAAACAAACAGAACAGGAAGATTTAATTGATGACGATGATGTTTTATCAAACCGTAAGGCAGTAACATATGGTACACAATGTAATGTAACATAATATTTCAATGTTGACCAATCATTGAATCCATGTCGCATGGCACAAATACGACATTCAAATACAATCTGATCTTTAGTATCAAGATCACGACGATGTAACTTTGGTATACATTTAAAACAATACATATGTTTACAAGGCATCCATCTTGGATCATTGAATAACTTTAAACAAATAGGACATTTATTTCCTTGACTAGTCATCTGCAATGAAATCGATTAGTTATTTTTAACAAAATAAAAGTTCCATAGACTATCAAAATGCTTGTGTGTATTGAATAATTGACTTTTATCTAGAAATGATTAGAATGATTGTATTAAGAGTATGCCCCCCTCACTTTCGGACTACTTCTGGCGCTCGGTTACAGTACAGTAGATCAAAGTTACATTTTTACCACAAGTAGATTATTGAAAATAATTAAAAACCATGAAACATGAAGCCTTACACGAAAAGAAAAAGTAATGACTTTCAAAATTGCCCACAATGAATTTAGTTTTTCTTTCTTTTGAAGCTTCTGCCTACTGTAGCTTTCGTTATTCGACAATGAATATACTTCTTATTTTTCTAGGAATTCACTCCATGGGATAGATGTTCATTGTTCTTATGCCACTTTCATCCTTCTATAGTGCTATGCCTATTAGAATCACATGCATGAGAATTGAGTTTTGTAGAAAATAAATTAAGAATCACTCTTGTGTCGAACATGCAACCAATTACATTTTATCCCTATCTAATTTTGACGTTCAAACATGAACTAAACTATGCAAATTGTTCTTTATTTCATCTATTTTCAATTCATAACTGTTGTTCTTTTTTTCAATTAATTTAGTACAAAAACAAAAAAAAAACAATAAAGATGATTATATATCAACAAAGAGAAATGTAAATGCACTGAGAAAACAACAATATTAACAACTAGTTTATCACACTACAAATGTTCATATTTTAGTTGAAAATGAAATAGAAAAAACAAAAAAAGAACTAACCATATACAATAACAATACAAATATTGAGAAAGAATTTTTTCTCATGACAAAATATATGTTTATGAATTGAATATGTATTATTCAAAAATAAAAATCAAATCAGAATTTTTTTAAAGAGCTCAATTCACATACCATGAAAATATCTGACAAGAATGTGATCACGTTTTTTTTTGCTACAAAGCATATGAAAAAGACAAAAACATGAATTATTGGATTGTTGAAAATTAATAACAATGAATCAAACCACGATCACCTCGCATAGCAAAACCCAATATAACTTCATCATCGGGTCCTATAAAAATTTATACAACAAACGATTCTGTTAGATAAGATGACTGCCCTTCATTTGAAACACCATCTATACCATATTGTTGAACAACTCATTTTGCATCGAATGGTACATCTGGGTATGTCTCCAAACCAACTTTTACCATAATTTTGTTTAAAGTTACTTCCATCAAGTTTTGTCTGGTCTTTAATCGTATACATCTAATAATAGTTTTCTTAGTACCAAGAATTTTAGTATTATTACTTGCTTCAATCATATTTAGCTTTTATGATGTTTTAAATTGTTCGATGATGTTCATGAGGATAAAGGCAACCAAGCGTGTAGCTTTCTTAGATATTGTGTTCCACAAATCTTTCTAGATATAGCAATTAATTGTCCTCTAATTTTCTATGAATCTTAGCCAGATTGGTCAATCAATGCAGAAGAAAAGTCAGTTTTTCGATTCATATCAACAGAAGTGTGTAAATTTTGCAATAAACAGTTTTTGAGTGAAAACATTTCAATGAATTGGTAAGTTCATCATGCTCTTTTATTTGATATATATGGATTGCTCAGCAATAGCAAAAAGTTTTTCGCTTTCAGAATCCTGCAAAGGGTACGAAAACGGAACTATTACAAAGATTAGTTTTTGTTTTATTTTGTTCCTTACAAACTCAAATTCTGATTAGCCGCGTGTGATTAGAGTATAGAGCTCTATTAGATTTCATATATGTTTGGTCTTTTATGAAAACTAAAGAGTTTTATACAGCCTCATACCTCCTACAGGGTCTGAAAAAGTAAAAAGTTTTTGCCGTTTTTCGGATGATCCATATATGTCGAATGATAGAGTATGATGAACTGATTATTATAGATAGAAATTTTTTCACTTAAAAAATATCTATCGCAAAGATCCATACACGTTTCTGTCCTTAGGAATTGAATAATTGGCTTTTTTTAGGTATTGATTGAGTGATTTGAGTATGGCATGCTTAAAATTCAAAGAAAAATCAATTGGTATATTTATAGAGCTTAGTGTTACCCGATAGCTGAGAAAATTGCATCGTTGGTTGCCTTTATCCTCATGAACATCATCGAACAATTTAAAACATCATAAAAGCAAAAAAATTATTGAAGCAAATAATAATGTCAACATTTTCAGTACTGAAAAAGCAATTTTTAGAGGCACACGATTGGAGACCAGACAAAACTTGATGGAAGTAACTTTAAACAAAATTTGAGATTGATTAGTTTGAAGACATACTGAGTACTAATATTTGGTTATATCACTCATAATTGCTATAATATTTCTTGAATAATATATGACTTCTCAGAACATACATTGATGGAAATGCCACTCTACTGATATACTATTGGATGAAACTCTAGTTGCTCTATAAAATTTTATACACTATTTTTCAAATGAAGAGTGATTCTCTTATCCTACAGAATCCTTTCTTTGTTTCGCATGTATATTATAAAACTCTTACCGAGTACCATACTGTAAAGTGTCTCAGCTTGAATTAGACGTTTTTCTTGTCCATCTGGAGTTAATTCAATAAGACAACGTCGAGGAGTATTATGAAATTTATTTCGGCCGTTATTGGTCTCATGTGAATTATTATCATAACATTTATCTTCCGTAAGTTTAAGTAAAGTTCGATTATCTTTAAAAATAACTCCATCGGTTAACTTCCATTCTGGATTATGTAAATTTTCGTAAGTTGTTATTAAACTAAATTTATTATCTTTAGCATATAAACGATATGAATCATGTTCTGCATCAATAAGACCTATTGATTGATTTGATTGTATCATTATTGATGGTTCAAATTGTTCATCAGAAAAATCAAGTACAATTTCTTCATCTTGTAAATATTTATGGATTTCATTTTTATTATTCGGTGCCATATAACAATAAACATTATTTTGCATTGGATTAAGGGCCCAAAGACGGCCAAAAGTTTGATCGGCAAGTATAGTTCGTATAGGATGTGATTGATAAATACCATCAATTTCATCACCACCATGAGAAAATAAATAAATCATACCACCATGATCATTATACCGACCCTAAAATAAATATGTATACTTTCGAAAAAAAATTTTTTTGAAATAAAAACGAACTTGTTCGCCTTTCATTATAGGTAAACCAGCTTTAATTAATTTTGAATGTTCTATTTCGTTTGATTTTTGTTCAAAACGACGTACATAAACAACAATAGCAAACTCATAAACAGTAAATGATTCCAAAAGTAAACGTGAATTTTTTGGAAATAATTCACCTGTACCAATGATCGATGGTTTTATTTTACTCATTGATTTTGGTAGACTATAAACACTTATTTGACCATAATCATCAGCAATAAATAACATATAATCATGTCTATGGTGAGGACGCGTATCAGAATGACGAGCTCGATTACGATTATCGAGTACGGCAAGAAAACATGGAATTTCTTTGAAATCAATTGACCATTGATATTTATAATTAGGAACAATATCTAAATTGTCTTCAGTTGATTGAAGTAGTGGAGGACGTGGACGTGCAGAGACACGACCGCGACCTCGATAATTACCGTTGTATCTAAAAAGACTTTTTTCAGTTATGCAAAGACAAAAACACAGAGATATAAAGGTGTAGAATGATAAAGATAAGAACAGAATTATAGATAATGTCCTCTGTTTTCTGTTTGATATGTTTTGTCTTCCTAGAGAAGATTTCCAATCAATGAATCGCTTGTGAATCGAGACTATGTACAATATATAGATTTAAATGAGTTTTAAACATACTAAAAGAAATTGAAGTTTCTAGTTTATTACTGCATAAATACCACAAATGTTTGATAGTTTTAATGAATGCCGTAGTTCCCAGCAGGAAAACTAATTTTTGAATTTTGATTTGAGACATTATGCATAGACGGGCTTTAACGAGGGTAGTTTATTGGGAAGGTTTTAAGTCTCTTGATTTACTTCTATACTGAAATACGAACATCAAATCTGTCGTTATATATGAGCAATGTAAATGATGCAGATTTACTGTGGCTAGATCCTAAGATAAGAACAACAGCTTGACCCGAAATATTCAAAAGAAACTAGTCTCGTCAAAGTCTATCTCTGTGTCAAGTTTCAAGTCGAAACTCGAAAATCATCTTTTCTAAGGCGACCACAGTATTCATCTAAAGACTACCGTGAAAGTGCAATATCTTAGTAACAATAAACTAAGGCTCTGAACTCTTTTTAGAATATTCATGGTTCATCTGGCTCTTCACAATGCACATAGTCTCGACTCAACATCGATTTATCGTTTTGATGACTTCTTTCATCGTTTACACATATCTGATTTTCTGTATATTATGACAATATTTGAATACCTACCGACCATTTCTAGGGTTATAATTATTTCGAGGATAGAATCCAACTACATGCGATGAATGTTGAATTCCACGACCACCTCGTGATCGAATAGATGGTCGCACGCGACGAGGAAAACGTGTTCGTTCAGTGGTTATTGACATTAATGATAATAAATTATTATCATTTGAATTGATTTGATGATTATGATTGGCTGTTGATGTTGTTGTTGATGATGTTTGAGTTGATTGTTCATCAAATTTGAGTTCACCAATTAAATGACTAAGATTTATTGAAGTTGGATCCGGTTGAGATAGATAAGGAATCTTCAAACCAAAAAATTAATATAACATAAAGAATATCATTTTATCTTACTTTCATTTCAATTTCTTTTAATTGTTTATTACGTGTTATTAATTGTTGTAAAAGTTTTTCTGTTTCTTCGAGATATGATAATAAATTTGATGTATTTGTTTCTTCTCTAAAATAAAATATTTTCATAGAATTTTATTTTTGAATAGTATTAGAAAACATTTTTACTCAAGAATTTTTGGAAGACGTTCTTTTATCGATTCATATTCATTATTAACATCATTGG